ACATAAACTTGGTTCCGATATTCATAAGGCTTTCAAACATGGTTTTATGTTGCATGAATCTTAAGTACTTCGGTAATTCCTCGCAAATTCAGTCCTCGAAGGGGAGAATACCGCCTTGAAGAGGACGTGTTAGTAGCCCCGTCACCCACGATTAAGTAGAGAGACCAAAGTCCATCCGGAGAATGGAAGCCTGGAAATGTTTATACTAACGAAGTTACTACCGGGCACGATTATTCCGATGGGTTCACACTGCAGATGGAAAGCATTGAACTCGAGTTGCGCTCGCATTACAGCCCGTCAGCAGGGCGATGACGGGGCTTGAACTCCGAACATCTAACGTGTGTGACAAGTGCGTTACCCCTACTCCACAAGCGCACACTGGACGTGCTTAACTCGTCGCGCCTGGGTGATATGATTGGTTGGCCCAGGAAGCCACCGGACTGGGACGTTCTGACGTTAATCGATCGACACAACCAGGGCAGTTACTGGCCCGTCGTTCAGGCCGCCGAACACACCGATCGCATTGCTCAAGTGTGGACTTGTTCGCACGTTTGGACGTGAAAACTGAGCTACGTCCATCGTGCGCCAATGCTGCAGCGGTGAGGGCGACGCTTCGCTTACCAGACGTCTGGAGTTCAAAGCCCGACACGGCTTAGGATAGACGCTACTGGACGAAACTCGAGTCTAGTCCTATTTGTGGACTCATCGAGAAAATTGCGCCAGGGTAGGAAACAGACTGCTCAAACAGGTGAGTTTAGTTTACAGCTGTGTTCAGCAAACAGCAGGAATGCCTTATGGAAACAAGTATGCACAACAATGGTTTAGGCTAAACGTGAATACCCGGNACAGGTGAGTTTAGGTTACAGCTGTGTTCAGCAAACAGAAGGAATGCCTTATGGAAACAAGTATGCACAACAATGGTTTAGGCTAAACGTGAATACCCGGTCCGAGTGATGTGTAGAAATTTTGGTAGCGCCTCAAATACACAAACGCTATATAAACTCTATATAAGCAAACAAAGAGGAACTGACCACCCAACTGCGTACTGATAATGTCTCCTCATATGGTAACCAAACAACTGCAAGTTAATTGTCAGGCTTGGCGAACAGATCGACATCCACATGATCAGGAACCAAGGTCTGAGTTACTGTGCACTAACTCTTTTGGTGGTGTGGTAAGATTCGAAAATTCTGGAAAAAATAGAAGTTTCATCCTACAAGTGAAGTCAATCTATGCCGAATAGCCGAGGAGCACTGTACAGCACTTTCATCTCTGTTGGTACTCACCAGCTGAGCACATCTGAGGTAAATCTCGAACACGCAATCTCCCGGCTGGTAATATGTGCATTTAACCGTTCGGACACAAGTGACTGATAAGCAGTGTGGTCAGCTCGCAATTAGACAGGACAAAGCACATTCCATCCTTTAATCACTTATCCTTCAATTACTGGAGGTTGATTGACGCCATATCCTGTCTAACAGCGAGTTGATCACATTGCTGATCAGCCGCTCACGACTCAGTCATTCAATGTTTAAAACTACTGGCCAGAAGTTCGTGAGTTCGGGACTTCCTGGAAACGCATACCACCGGTGATTCACAAAAAAGATGAAGCAAGTGTACAGGCCTCTCAGCACAGACTGGTTTCACCCACGGACGAAATCTTCATTCAGAATAGTCATGTCCCGTGTCGCGCTACTTGGATAAGAAGAGTGATTCTGCAGGTTTAAATGCTCTTGGGCACTGGTCAGAGTTACACAGTGCTTTGCTTGGCATTTCGGACATTCATTACCAATTCAGATGCCACTGCTATGAAGGGAAGTAGACAAGTGGGCCTTCAGGTAACTGCGCCAGGCTCTAGGCTAACCTCACTATCTCCAAGAGTTCTTGCATATAGGCGAACAGGCATACTATGTGTAAATTGTTTGATGAAGGGGCGAGACGTATAATAGCAATAACAAGTCTTCAACAGTGATAAGCTGCTCCAGTCCCCGTCACTACTAGTAAAAGGGAGAAGGCCTTCACTGCGGAGTTGTTTATTAGAGAAACACCAACTGAACAGTTACAGACTATTAGGGAGGGGAGCAAAACTCCCATATGCATCTTGTTTACAAAACTGAATATTCATCTTCTCTTTGAACGCGTCTTCCTGAACTTCCCTGGATATTCAAGCAAATGCTACAAGGCGACTCCACAAATTCCGTAATAGATCTCACTTTTCAGGAGACATGAAGCGGATTTACGAGGGGACTTTATTCTCATGCCTCAGCAGTAGTACTCACCGTTACATTTGGACTACTAGACTTGGATATCTGTTGCTAAACATTAAACTCTTCTCAATGGAATTAACATATTTAGGAAACTCTTGCTTTGGATTCAGGAACCGAAACAACTACGCATGCGATTTTTGTCTGTCCTTACCGGCCCCTCGTAGTTTCGACCCATATCACAAATTAATGGCTGTTATTCCGTAAAATACAACACTTGAATTGGCTGGCTTGCAAACGTAATAGGTGGCACCAGTGTGGTAAGATTATTTCAAAAAACTGCATTTTTCACAGTCCTGTTAAAGTTGAAGCATTCGCGGAGAGCTCAGTGCTGTCGACCACCTGATCAATATCGTCTTTGTCATAAACAGTGAGGCGCACAAGACTTCTCAATCAGTAAAGTATTTTTTATTGTTGACCGAGAGTTCTATGGTTAGAATTTTGTACTCGTCGTTTTAAATCGAGAAATCAAACGCGAGACCAAGCGTACTATAGTGGTTGAGTATTTATGTATCGAATTTGCAGCCTACATGTTTGAAACTATTCGGGGAAAATTGGGCGACTGTACTACCCTTCTACCCAGTATAGATAGGTTCTGGATTTACCATGTGTGAATTCCAGTCGCTTACTCTCAGTCTGGATGATAGTCCAGTATTCAACCATCCGAATGCGAGTGCCACGTTTCACGGTCGTAAGTAGGTTAAATGCAGGTACAAATATAGTCAATACAGTCAATACAAGTATAGTCATTGTAGGCATCAGGGGCGTAATCTTGAAGTATCACTCGCCTAGTCAAAATCTAGTTAGTAACGTTCGGACGACTGTGGGATGACCTTTAACACCGCAGACTTCCTTCCAGTACTAACATCTTTGACGATTTTGCCTTTGGATGGACAATACACCGACATGTTTGTAATATGAACGCAAAATGTCACCGTATCTGCTGTGGTTCGCATGCTAAGGAGATTGTAGAAAGGTAGCAACAGCATGAATATAGTGCGCGCACAGGAACCGCAGCGCAGTTCGGTTGTGAACTCAAGCTCACGCACCGCTGGACAGTGAGTTTTCGACTCATCTGGGATGTTTTAACCCTATTTGGCTTGCTTTGGAGAACAATTGACAACCTGGTTGAACGTGGTCAGAAACTTTATTTTTCGAACAAACTTTGACGAATCGCTGATGCGTTTTCACATAATCAGGAGAATATGACTGGACTAACGCGTAGTGCATAGAAACAAATTCTAAAAGTATCGAGGCTTCCGCTGAGTGCTCTAAAAATTGATGTAGCTCGTTAGTAGAAAGGGACTCAGCTGGCTGACTGCTGATCTGGTCACTTAGTCTGGGGAAACCTTCAAATCAAAAGCGGTACTTCACTCAGCAATCAATCCAGATTTTTCCCCATCCGGACTCATCTTCATTTCTATATCATTTGGTCTTCGTTACCCTAGTCAAGTAGGTGCTAATACAAATAGTCACATACTCAATTGGTTTTGGCAGCTACAGACGGAGTTTTTTTCTTCGTAGGAAGAGACATACAATTAGTACGGATTCATATAGCAAAGACAGATACATACATAAACGCAGTTTACATCTCGCATCACGCGTGTTGTTCGTGGTTGGATCATTTGATAGCCTGTTTGCATGTCCTGTCGGTATTGAGAGAGCCCGATTCCCGGCTGCATTCATGGAAATTTTATCGAAAAAGACTTCCTGTAGGTAGATCGCCTTCATTCCTCTTCCTGGGACAACATGTGGCCCCAGTGTTTTTCACACAAAATCTCGGGTATCCGCTATTTCAAACCAACGTTACTGCAAACAGTGCAATATTTGTATTAGTATTTGTATTATTATCCTCTTATGGTTCTTAAAAGTGTATATCCAATGACGCAAATCACCCGATACTATTGTGTGTCTCAATCGGTTTCCTGTTAAGTTCTTTTGGATTTGAACTAAGTCGCAGTAAAATGAGTCATATGGCCGGTATTTCGGTCGCGATGTTTTGTCTGCCTGTACGACGAACTCCAAGAAAATATAGATGCATTTACTGTGCCATGCAGCTGGGAGGTACACGATGTGTAAAAGTGAGTAACGAATATGGGACTAGCGTTGGTCAGACGAAACGTGCCTACACGCTACTAAATGCAAAAACTCTGAGGATTTTGGTGATAATAATGAATTAATATACATCCGTGGAGATAAAATTACAGGAAGTTTAAGAAATAGACAGAGAAACTGATTCAGTAAGCTCGCAAGACAGTGAGAGTATAAAGGAGGTNCTAAATGCAAAAACTCTGAGGATTTTGGTGATAATAATGAATTAATATACATCCGTGGAGATAAAATTACAGGAAGTTTAAGAAATAGACAGAGAAACTGATTCAGTAAGCTCGCAAGACAGTGAGAGTACTAAAGGAGGTGAATTGAAGTTCACAGGGAAAGAGGGCGAACGAAATATCCGCACTGAAGAACAAGTGGTTCTGTCACCGGGAGAAAAGATCGCGAAATGGAGAGGGATCAGAGAAGAATGCCGTCTTCTTTCAAGTAAAAACAGTGAAGTCGTTAACCACAAGTACCAAGTCATAATGAGGAAAAAGTAGTATTCCTGGACGATTTGAAAATTAAACTCCAAAACCACAAGAGAACCAATGGAACTGACAAGGAGTGATAGCGCAGCGGGAACAACCTACTCCAGAATTACACCACAAAGCGCATCGAACACAAAGAGAAGGATAAACCTCAGTGATTAGCATGTCCATAGGTGGCGTCGTTATCAGTTTTCGAGTCCACAACCGGAATATCCAATATGTCTTCCACAAGACGATCTTGGCCAAAACCCTCGACATTTACCACTGGTAATGTGTTAGCACCCGTCATACTGTCGCGAGCCAAAACAAGTTGTTCAGATAAATAAAGCTGGTCACCATCGTCAAAAAAGGTGCGATGCGTCACGATTTCGGGTTCAACATTGTCGCGCAACATTTCACTAATTTCACTATCAAACATTTCCTGATCATAAACGAAGTCACACGAAGAGAATCTCAAATCAGGAAGATGTGCGTATTCGGGCACGGCGTCTGCAACTTCAGGAGGCACCGAATCAATGAAATCAAATGACAAACCAGACACCCAAGAAACTGGGTCAGTGGATAGAGTTCCAGAAACGGGGATGGCAGAAGAAAAAGAAATTTCCCGAAACACATCAGATATCCCTAAATCACCAGATGTTCCCACACGTAAACATGGAAGGTCAGATACCGAAAACACATTCCCAGAACAATTATCATTATTAGGTCTTGTCCCAACAGCTGTCCTATCCGCAAATGTGCGGCCAAATCCTTGCTCACCATAAAACGCCTCATGTTCCCCCATCTCTGTCCCACCTCG